ATAAATGTATGGAAGAGGGGTAAGGTACCTAGGGAATGGCAGAGAGCATGCATAGTTCATTTGTATAAAGGCAAAGGGGACAAAAAGAGTGCAAAAATTTAGGGGGATAAGTCTGTTGAGTAAACCGGTAAAGTGTATGGTAGAGTTATTATTGAAAGAATTAAGAGTAAAAACGGAGAATAAGGATAGCAGATGAACAAGGAGGCTTTAAGGAAAGGTAGGGGGTGTGTGGACCAGGTGTTTACAGTGAAACATAAGTAAAACAGTATTTACATAAGGCTAAAGAGGTCTTTGTGGCATTTTATGAATTTGGAAAAGGCGTATGACAGGGTGGATAGGGGGGCAATGTGGCAGATGTTGCAGGGTGTATTGGTATAGGAGGTAGGTTACTGAAAGCAGTGAAGAGTTTTTACGAGGATAGTGGGGCTCAAGTTAGAGCATGAAAGGAAAGAGGAAATTATTTCCTAGTAAAAGTAGGCCCCTTAGACAAGGATGTGTGATGTCACTGTGGTTGTTTAATATATTTATAGATGGGGTTGTAAGAGAATTAAATGTGAGGGGTCTTGGCAAGAGGCGTGGAGTTAAAAGATAAATAACCCACACAAAGGGGGATTTTGCCACAGTTTCTCTTTGCTGAGGGACACTGTGCTCTTGGGAGATTCTGAAGAGAAGTTGCAGAGATTGGTGGATGAATTTGGTAGGGTGTGCAAAAGAAGAAAATTAAAAGTGAATACAGGAAAGAGTAAGGTTATGAGGATAACAAAAATAATTAAAGGGTGATGAAAGATTGGATATCAGATTGGAGGGAGAGAGTACGGAGGAGGTGAATGTATTCGGGATATTTGGGAGTGGACGTGTCAGCGGATGGGTCTATGAAGGATGAGGTGGAATCATAGAATTGATGAGGGAAAAAAGGGTGAGTGGTGCACTTAGGAGTTGTGGAGACAAAGAATTTTTGTCCCTTGGAGGCAAAGAGGGGAATGTATGAGAGTATAGTTTACCAACACTCTTATATAGGTGTGAAGCATGGGTGATGAATGTTGCAGCGAGGAGAAGGCTGGAGGAAATGGAGATGTCATGTCTGAGGGCAATGTGTGGTGTGAATATAATGCAGAGAAATTCGTAGTTTGGAAGTTAGGGGGAGGTGCGGGATTACCAAACGTTGTCCGGGAGGGCTGAGGAAGGGTTGTTGAGGTGGTTCGGACATGTAGAGAGAATGGACCCGAAACAGAATGACTTCAAGAGTGTTTTCAGTCTGTAGTGGAAGGAAGGCGGGGTAGGGGTCGGCCTAGGAAAGGTTGGAGGGGGGGGGTTTAAAGGAGGTTTTGTGTGCGAGGGGCTTGGACTTCCAGCAGGCGTGCGTGAGCGTGTTTTTATAGGAGCGAATGGAGACGAATGGTTTTTAATACTTGACGTGCTGTTGGGAGTGTGAGCAAAGGTAACATTTATGAAGGGGTTCAGGGAAACCCGGGAGGCCGGACTTGAGTCCTGGAGATGGGAAGTACAGTGGCCTCACTCTGAAGGGGGTGTTAATGTTGCAGTTTAAAAACTGTAGTGTAAAGCACCCTTCTGGCAAGACAGTGATGGAGCGAAAGATGGCGAGTTTTTTCTTTTTCGGGCCACCCTGCCTTGGTGGGAATCGGCCAGTGTGTAATAAAAATAAATACCTTTGAAGACCAAACCACCTCAACTGCCCTTCTTCAGCTGTCTGATTAATACCTTTGGTAATTCCACACCACCTATTTCCACACTATGAATTCTCTGCATAATATTTACACCACATATTGCCCTTAGACAGGACATCTCCACTGCCTCCAACCCTCCTCGCTGCAGCATTTACAAAACCCCTGCTTCACACCCATTCAAGAGTGTTGGTACCACTATACTCTCATACATTCCCTTCCTTGCCTCCATGGATAACATTTTCTTTGTCTCTACATATACCTCAATGCACCACTCGCCTTTTTTTTCCTTCATCAATTCTATGGTTAACCTCATCCTTCATAAACCCATCTGATAAGTCAACTCCCAAATATATGAAAACATTCACTTCTTCCATACTCCCTCCCTCCAATGTGATATCCAATTTTTCTTTACCTAAATCATTTGATACCTTCATCACCTTACTCTCATCTATGTTCACTTTCAACTTTCTACCTTTACACACCCTCCCAAACTCATCCACTAACTTTTGCAACTTTTCTTTAGAATCCCCCAAAAGAACAGAATCAGTGAAAAGTAATTGTCAACTCCCATTTTGTATTTGATTCTCCATAATTTAATCCCACCCCTTTCCCCAATACCTTAGCATTTACTTCTTTTACACATCCCTAAGACCTACTTTTACTGGGAAGTAATCTCCCTCTCTCCTACACACCCTAACCTGAGCCTCACTATCCTCAAAAACTTTACAGCATTTAGTAACTTACTACCCATTCCATATACTTGAAACATCTGCCACATTGCTCCACTATCATATGCCTTTTCTAAATCCATAAACGCATTGAAAACTTCCCTACCTTTATCTAAATACTGTTCAAATATATGCTTCAATGTAAACACGATCTACATGTCCCCTATCCATTCTAAAGCCTCCTTGCTCATCTGTAATCCTGCTCTGTCTTACCTCAAATTCTTCAATAATAACCCTACCATACACTACCTGGTATACTCGGTAAATTTATTTCCCTATAATTTTTACAATCTCTGTCCCCCTTACCCTTATATAGAGGAATTATGCATGCTCTCTGCCAATCCCTAGGTACCTTCCCCTCTTTTACACATTTATTAAACAAATACCAACCACTCCAACACTATCCCCCCCTGCTTTTAACATTTGTCATGATCCCATCAGTTCCAGTTGCTTTACCCCCTTTCATTCTATGTAATGCCTCATGCACCTTCCCCACACTCGCATCTTGCTCTTTTTCACTCCTAAAAGATGTTATACCTCACTGGCAAGTGCAAGAAATTACTGCTTCCCTTTCTGCATTGACATTAAAAAGTTCCTCAAAATATTCCCGCCATCTACCCAATACCCCCAGTTCCCCATCTGACTGCCCTACTGTGTTTTTAACTGGCAAATCCATTCGTTCTCTAGGCTTTCTAAACTTATCTCACTCCAAAATTTTTTCTTATTCTCAGCAAAATTTCTTGACAGTGCTTCTCACTATCATTTGCTCTCCTTTTGCACTCTCTCACTACTCTCTTCACCTTTCTTTTACTTTCCATATACTCTGCTCTTCTTATATCACTTCTGCTTTGCAAAAACCTCTCATAATCTACCTCTCTTTTATTGCACCCTTTTCCCTCATCATTCCACCAATCACTCCTCTTCCCTCCTGCACCCACCCTCCTATACCTGGAGAGAGTTCAGAGGGGTCAACGCCCCCACGGCCCAGTCTGTGACCAGGCCTCATGGTGGATCAGGGCCTAATCAACCAGGCTGTTACTACTGGCCACATGTAATCCAATGTACAAACCACTGCCCAGCTGGTCAGGTACTAACTTTAGGTGCCTGTCCAGTGCCTGCTTGAAGACAGCCAGGGGTCTACTGGTAATCCCCCTGATGTATGCTGGGAGGCAGCTGAACAGTCTTGGGGCCCCTGACACTGTTGTCTCTTATGCTAATGGCACTCCTGCTTTTCATTGGGGGGATGTTGTACCGTCTGCCGAGTCTTTTGCTTTCATAGGGAGTGATTTTCATGTGCAAGTTTGGTACTAGTCCCTCGAGGATTTTCCAGGTGTATATAATCATGACTCTCTCACTCCTGCATTCTAGGGAGTACAGGTTCAGGAACTTCAAGCATTCCCAGTAATTGAGGTGGTTTATCTCAGTTATGCGTGCCGTGAAGGTTCTCTGTACATTTTCTAGGTCAGCAATTTCACCTGCCTTGAAAGGTGCTGTTAGTGTGCAGCAATATTCCAGCCTAAATAGAACAAGCGACCTGAAGTGTGTCATCATGGGTTTGGCATCCCTAGTTTTGAAGGTTCTCATTATCCATCCTGTCATTTTTCCAGCGTATGCGATTGATACAATGTTATGGTCCCTGAAGGCGAGATCCTCTGGCAAGATCACCCCCAGGTCTTTGTCATTAGTTTTTTGCTCTATTGTGTGTTGGAATTTGTTTTATACTCTGACGAAGTTTAAATTTCCCCACTTTTTCCATATCAGAGTAACCGAAATTTCTCATCATTGAACTTCATATTGTTTTCTGCAGCCCATTTAAAGATGTGGTTGATGTCTGCCTGGAGTCTTGCAGTGTCTTCAATGGAGGACACTTGTGCAAATTAGGGTGTCGTTTGCAAAGGAAGACACGGCACTGTGACATATCCCTGTGTCCGACATGAGGATGAAGAACAAGAATATGGGCGAGTACCGTGCCTCGTTTTTCACCGTGGCCACCTCAGACTTTACTCTGTTGACTACTACTGTGTTCTATTTGTTAGGAAATTATAGATCCATCTACCACTTTTCCTGTTATTCCTTTATCACACATTTTGTGTGCTATTACACCATGGTCACACTTGTCTAAGGCTTTTGCAAAGTCTGTGTATATTACATCTGCATTCTGTTTGTCTTCTAGAGCATCCAGGACCTTATCATAGTATCCAGTAGTTGGGACAGACAGGGGCGACCTGCTCTAAACCCATGCTGCCCTGGGTTGTGTAACTGATGGGTATCTAGATGGGTGGTGATCTACCCCACATTCTAATACTACATTTTTAAAACTATCCCATCCCTCTTCAACCCCCCTCCTCCACTACCCATACTTACACTAGCCTACCTTACTGCCAATAGTTGCTTAAATCTCACCCTAAAAAAATTATCATTAAATATTTGGGCATATTTACTTTGCATTGACATACTAAAACTTAATCACTTATTTTTAATTCAATGGAACATGAAAAATTTAAGTGATTAAGATTTTAAGCAAAATCTAATTATGCATAAAGCTGCAAGTAATTTTCACAAGACAATACACCACAAAGCTGCTTACTTGTGTTGATGTTTTGGTATAAACTTCCATCATCTGAGCCCGTACTTCCTCCATAAGTTGTGGCATGTCTTCCTTAGAAAAACCTTCAGTAGAAATTGGAGGCAAGCACGTAACAATGATGTGACCTGTGGCAAAGAAATAATCTTTAAAAAAAAAATTGGAAAATTTATTAAAGATACAGCATAGTAACTCATGGATCTCTGGAAATTTTTCCTTGTAGCTCCAATTAGTGAAGCAAACAACAATCCATCTGTACTTACACACATCCCCCATGCAGTCTTAGGACAATTTCACAACCCTTTCCTCCTACACACTCCACTACTAAAATACAGTAGAGCATTATATTACATGGATTTATTGGTCTCATTTTGGTTATTCCACTATTGAAAAATTGCTTCATAATTTTATACAACACTTCGTAAAATTAACTTAACATGGTTTAGTTTGGTGAAGGGGGCAAAAATTTGGAGCATCGCCCATGGGATATTTCCCCAGCTCAGGCCGCTGCCTGGCTGTGGGTGAAACCACCGTTTCCACGGGGTAGACCTACCACCATCTCTTGCCACCCCCACCCCAGCCTTCCATTCATATGCATCTAGTACAACTCTCCTAAGAGTTAGCTGTGTTTGTGAATTGTGTTCTGATCTTTTAATTGCCATATCTTGTATCTGCCAAGCTATCATGGCACCCAGCAGGCATACGAGTATTGCTGAAAGTGCCAGGAAAAGGTTAAAGCATAAATGAAATCTTGAAGTTACAAAGAAAATTGAGATATAAGACAAGCTTAAAAGTGGCACACGTGTGATGGATATAGCGAGAGCCCATGGCCTTAATGAAGTACCAGTTCATACAATTAAAAAGAATGAGGTAAATATACTAGTTTGTGTAATGAATAACCCAGGATGTCATCTGACTGACCTACCTACCAACTTACCTCAACCATCCACCTCAGCCCAGTAAGGCCACAGCATAACTGATTTACCTAACAGTTTTCAGAAAAGTAACTACCATGTAATATAACTGTCTACTGTACACTTAATTTTATTTAGGCATTTTTTTAATGCATGCATCACTCGTACACAGTACAGAAGTAAATTCACTTCTGAATACTCTCAATATATTTAAATTTTACTAAAATTTTATTTCACAAAATCAGCATGTGTTGTATATCTTAATTTGAAGTAATGAACAAGACAAAGTTGTCAGATTTAAAGAAAATTTTAAAATAGAAATCTGACCACACCTCTTTAGAAAAAATAAATCTAAAGATTATGCAAAATGAAAATCTAAATATTCTCCCTTTCCAAAACTTTCAAAAGATAATTTTAAGAGAATAAAAATGTGGAAAAGAATTTCATATTTGGAAATATGTCCGAGAAATTCCAAAATGAAATTCCAAGTTCTGGCTTTCATTTAAACAATCCTGAAATTTTGAGTACAGTACTGTTGTAATTTCAAATTCAATATTTTAGAAAGCGTTTTCTCTTTTTAGAAAAAAAAAAAAAATCCAAATTAATTTTATCTATTTAGGAGAATGCCAGATAAAGTACAACAAATAATATAGGTTTATGTCACAGTACAGCACATCATTTAGGTCACACAAGGCACATTTAGGTCACAGCACATCATTTAGGTCACAGCATATAATTAGTCACAGCATATTTAGGTCATAGCACATCATTTAGATCACAGCACATCATTTAGATCACAGCACATCATTTAGGTCACAGCACATCATTTAGGTCACAGCACATCATTTAGGTCACAGCACATCATTTAGATCACCATACAACAGTCTACACTTAGCATAATAGAGGCAAGTGTAATACAAGCATGCTATATAGGTTCAAATACACCATATTTACAATAAATCACAGCATACCATGTAAATTCAACTACAGTACTAACAGGAATGCCACTGAAGTTCAGATACAGTATGTATAAGGAAGTAGAGCAACTCACCTGGGTTGAAAATTTTGCAAGGATGATTGAGAAACCCTCTGTATGAAGAGTACACAAGAGGAAGAATCGGTAACTGGCCTTCAATGGCCAAGTGAAAGGCACCCTTTTTGAATGGCAGCATCTCATCAGCCATGCTTCGAGTACCCTCGGGGAAGACCCACAATTTAACCTGTTTAATGAAACCCATGGCTTAGATTAGACAAGGGAATTACAGCAAATTGGTTTTAGATAAAAAAAAAAAATCAACACTGGCTGTCCTGAAAAAGAACTTTCACCATCATTCACTATCAGTGTCTTTCCAGTGGTGCATAGATACTAAGCTCACATGCCCCTCTAAACTATAAAATATCCCATCCCTCCTGAAGACTGCAGGCACTGTACTTCCCACCTCCAGGACTAGTCTGGCTAACCAGTTTTCTTGAATCCTTTCACAAAATGTTACCTTGCTCACACTCCACCAGCTCTTATGAACCATACACTGGGTGTACTTAATTTAATGTAACAACTCCACACTCAACCATAAGAATTTTATTTACAGTATTTATTTTATTCAGGGGGAAGCACAAAACCCAGAGATCATATAATGTCTGGGGAATGTGAAGAATTCAGATTTGATTCAAGGAAGGGTAGAACTAGCCCCATTCCCTGGATAAGAGCCCCTCATGAGCATCAAGGCACTTCCCCTGCAAGGTCAACACTGAGAAAAACTGAAGAAATATTTTTAGTCCAGCTTGGTTCCTGAAAAGAAACCTCTTCATTGCCAGAAAATATTTTGTACCATTATCCTGCTGTTAAGTGTTGACCATTCATATGACAAAAAGCATTAATAATAATTGTACCATGAAAAGCCAAGGCAATAACTAAAGTACACGTACTGTATAAATTATGCCACTCTCCCTCTCACCCCGCTTAGGAGTTTTAATATCACTGCCTGGCCTAATGCCAAACATCCTTGGCCAGGTCAAGCTCTTTCTAACACAACTCAAAGATCACCCTCGAAGTCTGACTGTGGTCTAAGTAATATCATATTGGCTTTGGATGTTAATTTTAAGTTCTAAAGACTAAGCTTTATACATCCTATTTTCAGCAAACTTGTCTTACAAAATCTGGAACAATTCACCAAAAATCTGCACTTAGGAGAGGAACATTAGGATGATGATTTGGTTCATCCTGGATCATTGTCAGATCACAACAGAGTAAGAGGCAAAGAGGACTAAGACAGGAGGAGCAGCAGCAGGAGAGGTGGAAAGGAGGAGAGGAGGGAAGGAGGAAGAGGAGGAAGGGGCGAGAGAAGCATGAATAGTAGTAGTAGTAGTAGTAGTAGTACAAGTGATGGATGTAATAGTAAAAAATTAGTAATAGTGTACAAGAACAAGAGAACAAAGGAACACTGGAGGGGGTGCTACTGGTTCATGGGCTTCAAGGAGAGGAGAGAGAAAAAAAAAAAAGGGGGGGGGAGAGGACCCAGAAAGGCAGAAGCAAAGGTGGCAGCAAAAGTGTCCCTCTGTTATCCTTAATTTCTCATGTCTGAAATTTCCAATATTTACAATCTGTTCTCGTCTTGGCTATACTTCCAATTTCATCAACTCTGCCTCTCATACTAAATGGACTTTTTTCTCTCTTAGACATTTTGTGATATCTTCTATTCTCTGCCTTCCTTACATATCTAATCTTCAAAACCTTAAGTATTACATGGCACAGCACTCACCAGTCGAGATAGTTGCTAAACAAAATCAGTCTTGTCTGCTCACTAAATCTAATATTGCCATACAGTGATCTGGTTTCCACCAATCACCCATTCTAAGGAACCAGGGATCCCCTCCTGGTGATCCATTTTATACCCAGATATTTGGTTTCTTTAGGAACTACATTGTAATGAAAAAAAAAAAATTGACACTAATGGAAGAGGAAGAGAGTGGAGGGAGGGAGAGAGGCAGGGAAACATATATTGGAAAGTAACGGTAGATCAGGGGGATACAAGGCAAGGGTCACGTTTAAACTTTAATCCATAAATCTAGTTAATATCTGAAACAAAAGCACAGTATAATTTTATACATTGGGGAGACTTGAGCTTTTCTTTTTAGGTCGCCTTGCCTCAGTGGGATATGGCTGGTGCGGGGGAATTGAGGAGTCCAATAAATCTGCACAATAAATTATACAGAATATACTATACATTTCTCCATGGGGAAGTGGAAAAGAATTCTTCCTCTGTAGCCCATGCATGTCATAAGAGGCAATTAAAAATATCAGGAGCAAGGGGCTAGTAACCCTTTCTGTATAAATTACTAAATGTACAAATAAAAACTTTTGTTTTTCTTTTCAGGTCATCCTGCCTCGATGGAAGACAACCAGTGCGTTAAAAAATATACACAAGGTGTAACCCCAAAAACACTGATACAGTATAGTACTATCAATATTTTCAATTCCACACAAAATATCTGCATCATCCTAAGCAACTGATTGTACTCGTGAATAAACTTTTATGAAAAACAGATCCACTTACACTTTTTTCCTTCACATAAGCTAATGCTGCATTCATCGAAGTCTTGGCACTGTCAGGGTTCCTACGGTCAATGAACCGGGTGCCACAAAGCCAAGCTGTCATTCCAAAGGGCATGGCATAAAATAATTCCTTCTTGGCAATGGCTGTGATCTTGTTAAACATCGGCCACATGTATACCATCCCTGTTAAAGTAAAAAGAAAAACTGATAAATTATACATAAATAATTTGCACACAGAAAAACTGATGACATTTCAGTCAGACTTGGACCATCAACTTATCACAAAGTTTCTCTTATGTGCAGGTTATTTGTGTATTGTTCTAGTCATGGCATTGTGCCTTTGTGTTCTTCAAAGTGTAGTATAAACAAACCTAAACAAAGACACTGACAATATAACATTCTTCTCATACATTCTCACTTTTCATCTATGCTGAGCTGTTAAAACGTAGCTAATGTAGAGTTATCTACATTAGATACATTTTAACACAATTATCTTCAGCAAACTTTTCACATGAACATTCCCAATGACACTCAATATGATTAGACTTGCACAAAATGAGGTTTATCAAAACAAATTAAAGGGAACAGGAAGAAAACTTGCTTTTACACTGCATCAGTGTAAATGCAACTGCCCACCCCTCAGAATATTTTTTTTTTTTTTCCCCAACACCAGCCATTTCCCACCAAGACTGCTAATATACTACTTGTTCTGCTTTTCTCTCTCATTAACCCATAATCTGTTGCATACCCAGAAAAAAATTCCTGCACATGGCAAAATTTTTCAAAGAAAAAAAAAAAAAAACCTTGCCAACTGGCAAAGCCTTGTTTAACCCTTTCAGGGTCCGTCCCGTAGATCTACGGCTTTACGTTCAGGGTCCAAACCGTAGATCTACGCCATGAGCTCAGCTCACTCTGATAAACTGTAAGTGGTACATTTGGGCCTAGATATGAGAGAATACATCTATGTGGTATGTGTGCACCACATAAAACAGATCCTGCAGCACACTGTGTATAATGAGAGAAAAAAAATGAAATCATGATTTTTCGATTAAAACAGCAACTTTGCAGTGTTTTTTCGTATGTTTTTTATAGCTGTATTTGCGATTTCTTGGTCTCATTTGATAGAATGGAAGACAAAATTACAGAAATAGAGATGATTTTGATTGGTTTTAGCATTGGAAATGGCTTGAAACTGAGCTCAAAGTAGCGGAAATGTTAAATTTTTTGCCGATATTCAAGAGTAAAACAAACGACCTCACATGTCTAATACACATCAGCTGGTGGGTCTAATATACATTCACAAATATGGTGATGATATTTATACAATTATTACAGTATTGCATAACAGTAAATCTTCTATTTTTTGGTGTGAATAAAAATTCATTATGTGAATAAAAAATCAAAATGGAATTTATTTGTAAAGCCTCAAAACATAACTAATGAACAGAGGAAATGTTAGTTTAGTGCAAGGAATGCCTACATTGTTCATTCTGGACCCTATTTTGAAATTGGAATATTTTGAACTTTGTGTTAAATTGGCCAAATTAACAATTTCCGATCACTTTATTTTGTAGTTGAAACAGTTGACTTGGCGATTTCTTGTGCTCAATCGATAGAATAGAAGTAATACTAGTGAAATAGCTAAGAATTTGGTTGATTGGAATAATGTAATTGGCCTAAAATGGGAGTCAAAGTCGGCAAAATCGCCGATTCGTAAATATCGCTGACACATCAAAATTCGCGAGAGCATAATTTCGTCAATTTTCCACCAAATTTCGTACTTTTTGTTTTATTACCTTCACAAAAAGATTCTCTACGATTTCATAAGAAAAAATAACAATTTTTTTGAAAATTCTTGGACACTGGTGCGTGACTCCAGATTTGGGCCTTGGACCCTGAAAGGGTTAACTACAAAGAAAAAAATGAACTAAAGGAAAAACCTACAGTTTTATGTCATACTGAAGTTGAAAAATGACCACTTATCAGCAAGATCAGCATTAATACATTACAGTACTGGGACATATAAGCAATATTTTTTATTTTATTAACACATCGGCCAATTCCACCAAGGCAGGGCGGCCCGAAAAGGAAAAACTTTCATCATACACTCCATCACTGTCTTGCCAGAGGCATGCTTACACTACAGTTATAAATCCACAACATTTACACCCCTCCTTCAGAGTGCCGGCACTGTACTTCCCATCCCCAGGAATCAAGTCCGGCCTGCCAGTTTCCCCGAATCCCTTCACAAATGTTACCTTGCTTGCACTCCAACAGCATGTCAAGTCCTAAAAACTATATCTGTCTCTATTCACTCCTATCTAACATGCTCATGCATGCTTACTGGAAGTCCAAGCCCCTTGCATGCAAAATCTCCTTTACCCCCTCCCTCTAACCTTTCCTAGGCCGACACCTACCCCATCTTCCCTCCGCTACAGATTTATGCACTCTTGAAGCCATTCTATTTCATTCCATCCTCTCTACATGTCCAAACCATCTCAATAACCCTTCATCAGCCCTCTGGATAATAGTTTTGGTAATCCCACACCTCCTCCTAATCTCCAAACTACAGATTCTCTGCATTATATTCACATCACACATTGCCCTCAGACATGACATCTCCACTGCCTCCAGCCTTCTCCTTGTTGCAACATTCAACACCCATGCCTCACGCCCATACAAAAGTGTTGGTATACCCATACTCTCATACATAACCCCTCTTTGCTTTCATGGATAAAGTTTTGTCTCCACAGACTCCTCAGTGCACCACTCACCTTTTTCCCTCATCAATTCTGATTCATCTCATCCTTCATAGACCTATCTGCTGATACGTCCACTCCCAAATATCTGAACACATTCACCTCTTCCATACTCTCTCCCTCCAATCTGATATCCAATATTCAGTTACAGTAGGGCCCCGCTTTACGGCGTTTCACCTTATGGCATTCTGCTAATACAGCGATTTCAAATTTTGACCATAACTTTCTATGCGGCGAGTGATCTTTCAAATGCAGCACACGCCACCAGTTTGTTTACATTCTCCGTGAGCATATATCTCTATGTAATAATAATTCTTGGGCACACTAAATGTCTTATTTTACGTAATAGACATTTTCATTAATCCATCTATGACATTTTCTTCAAAATTATATATGAAACACGTTATAGTATATAAACATTTTAAGTTTATATGCTATGGACGTGTGGTAGCTGGGCGGAGGGAAAACATTACGTCACTCCCCTCTATACATAATGCTTTTGTTTACAATTCTCGGCATGAATTATTCATTATTTCTCCCATTTATGATGGCATCTAAAGGTAGTTGATAGAAACGATTAAACTCATTGAACATGGTATGTCAATGGTAATAATGTGGCTCTGGGCCACATTAACCCTTTGACTGTCGCAACCCCCAATCCTGAGGTGTCTCCTGGTGTCGCAATATTAAAAAAAAAAAATTCTTATGAAATGATAGAGAATCTTTTCCCGATTGCAATGAGACCAAAAAAACAAAATTTGATGAAAAACTGATGGAATTACACTCACGAAGTTAGCGACCTCGGCGATATTTACAAATCGGCGATTTCACCCACTTCGAGCCCTATTTTCGGCTAATTTCATTGTTCCAGTTGACCAAACTCATAGCTATTTCTTTAGAACTCCATATTTTCTATCGAATGAGTACAAGAAACTGCCCATTTACCGATTTCAACTACCCAATAATGTGGTCAGAAATTTGCAATTTGGCCAATTTCATGAAAATTAAAAAATATGACAATTTCAAAATAAGGTCCAGGATGAACAATGCAGACATTCCTGGCTCTAAAATAACATTTTCTTTGTTAATCAGTCACATCTCCAGGCCCCTCTGATATTACTCTTGCTTTCTATTTGAAATTTTTTATTCAAACAAAAAGTAGAAGATTTACTGTTATGCAGACTACGGCAATACTGTAATAATTGTACAAATAATGTCAACCCATTCATGACTGCATATCTGAATGGCTAGTTGGACATTTATTGGACAATGACATCATTTGTTTACTTTTGAACATCGGCAAAAATCAAACATTTCCCCTACTTTGAGCTCCATTTCCAGGTTCTTTTTATAGTAAAACCAATCAAAATCACCTCTTTCTATAATATGTTTTCCATTCTATCAAATGAGACGAAGAAAACGAGAATACAACCATAAATACTATACGAAAATAGACCACAAAGACGACATTTTAATTAAAAGAAAACAAAATCAGTTTTTTTTTCTCATTATGCACTGCGTGCTCCAGGATTTTTTTTATATGGTGCACACTGACCACACAAACCCATTCTCTCACATGTGGGCCTACCAGCTTTCACCTGCTTGATTTGAAGCCGGTAGAATTTATGAGTACATACACGTCAAACACGGTACCTAGTAAGACGTACAGTGGACCCTCGAATTTCATAACCCCTTTTCTGAATGTAAAACTATAGTTACTCTTATTTATGGGTGTCTGGAATGGATTAATTGGATTTACATTTTTTATGGGAAATATAAAAAAATACATTTTATAGAGGATAACTATACAGTGGACCCCCAGTTTGCGATATTAATCCGTTCCCGAGAGCTCATCGTAAACCAAAATTATCGAAAATCTAATCAATTTTCCCCATAAGAAATAATGGAAATCAAATTAATCCGTGCAAGACACCCAAAAGGATGAAAAAAAATTTTTACCACATGAAATATTAAATTTAATGCACACAAACTGAAGAAGACATGCACAGTTTGTAGTACTCTACTAACAATAGAATACATGACACTTACCTTTAATGAAGATCTGGTGATTGATGGGATGGGAGGAGGGCAGAGTGTCGAACTTATTGTTTAGAAGGGGAATCCCCTTCCATTAGGACTTGAGGTAGCAAGTCCTTTTCTGGGGTTACTTCCCTTCTTTTAATGCCACTAGGACCAGCTTGAGTCACTGGACTTCTGTCGCACAACACATCTGTCCATAGAGGCCCGTACCTCTCGTTCCTTTATGATGTTCCTAAAGTGGTTCACAACATTGTCATTGTACAGGTTGCCAACACAGCTTGCATTAGCTGTGTGAGGGTGATTTTCATCAAAAAAGGTTTGCACTTTAAGCCACATTTCCTTAATCTTTGAAGTGGGCAACTTCTAAAATTTCTCTATCCCCTC